CCCCACCAGCACCGCGGACCCCAGACCAGCAGGGTCTAACGTGCTTGCGGCGATGGCGGCTTGTCTCGTCAATCAAGCAAACGTTTTGGCAGCGATGGTCCCGGGAGTACGTTTTGGGTCTACAGGCGCGGTCAAAGTGGCAGAACCAGGAGGATGTCATCCGGACGGGCGAGCTGGTCCTGATCGCAGAGGATTACCAGCCGCCACAACACTGGCTCAGAGGAAGGGTAGGAGAAACGCATGCCGGCGCGACGGAAGGGTCAGGGTCGCTGTCGTCAGGACTAGCTCTGAAGCGGAGTTTAGGAGAGCAGTCCACAAGCTGGCGCGGCTGCCATTGAGTTGAAGCCGGATGGAGGCGTTCAACGGGTCCGGTGTTAACGGATTTGATTGGATTTGATATTAATTTGAAGTTGTTTTTAATTTGAATTATATTTTGTCGTTGAATTTTTAGTCTCTAAATCTAGTCTAAGATAGCTTAGGGCGGAGCGGGAGCGAAATTCATATTCGCTCTTGTGCGAATTCGCCCACTTCGCCGCAATGGATAAGTTAGGCTTTAGATAGAGAAATAAGATCGATATATAACGTTGAAAAGGATACATCTTTTTTCGTTTTTGCGTTTTCGACATTTGTTTTTTTTTTCTTCGACAGAAGACTCAAGAGAAAGCATCCACTGGATTTACTAAATTAACTTTTTAGATTCATAGCTTGTATTTATCAAACTCCTATTGTCAAGGTTAACTTTAAAAATTTAATTATTGTCCCTAACTGAGGACAGATTGTAAATAAAACTTTCAAATGTAAAAAAGAAAAAAAAATTTCTTTATATATTATTTTTAGCAGCCACTTTTATTTTTATTGTAGCGTTGAGTTAGAGGACCGTCTTTTAAAAGTCTGACATTCAAGCATTCAAGCAGTTAAAGCATTTTAAAAATTTCCACTGAAGCCCACGTCTAGGAGTCGAGTTGGGCTATTCTTGACCACGGCAGGAAGCCTGGCGTACGCCTTACCGACTCCTGAATTGCGACGAACAGGCGTAATCCTGCGAGAAAACAATAGGCCGGCTCGTGAACTCACGAACAGTTAAGAAACCGATCGGTATGCGCTTTGTTTTTTTGGAGAAGCGGAGGCGCGACGTAATCGGGCAATTCCCGATTCGGACCCGCTAGTTCGTATACGCGGTGCTTCTTTGATGTAGCGGAGACGCGTCGCCCAGTCTTTGGCTTTTCACGGATCCTGTAGCGTGTATGCGCGCCGGTGTGCGAAGACCAGACGCAGACGACCCAAGGGTGTTTTTTTTTTGTTAGTATTGCGCCATTAAGGTGAGAATCTATCCTAGATACTATTGGCCCGTTCCAAAAGCATGCTCGATCGGCATGTCTACGTACTTTAGTCTACGTAGTCTACGTCTACGTACCCCGCACACACCACAGACCCTGCGGTACCCCTGCGGTAAAGTATTACTTCGTGGAAAAGGGTTACGTAATCTAGGCATACTCCCTAAAGCGACGTTAATTTTCAACTCTTCTTAAGTCGCCCTGTGTAGAATATATCAACCTTAACGTGATGCAGCCCACAGTTGCCCATATTGATGGTAATGTACTCCACCTTCTTTCTTCTCGTGAAGAGAACCGCTTCCGTTTTATGAGCTGCCAGGATTAGTTCGAAGTCAGACATCCATGTTGATATTCGTATTTTTGCTTCATTCGCCTTAGTTTCCACGTGCTTGATTTCCTTGGCCACCACAAGCAGGGCTAGGTCGTCCGAAAAAGCCGATGAGCTTGCATACCTCCGGTAGTTTGGTCTTGAGTATTTCGTCGAACATAATGTTCCAAAGAAGCGGTCCAAGGACCGATACTTGCGGAACACCCGCAGTCACCTCACAGGTTTTTAATCCTTTGTCCGTGTCGCAAAGTGGTATCCTGTCTGAAAGGTAGATGGATATTACTAGTTGCAGGTATTTAAGAATACCTGTCGAGAACAAGGTTCGTTGGACACATGTCCAATTAGCCGAGTTAAAGGCGTTGCGGATGTCTAGTGTTACCATCGCGAATTTCAATTGCGAGTAGCGATGGTCATCTCAAGGACTTCCCTACAGAGACATATGGGCCTGCATTCTGATGTTTCGTCTTGTTTTCTTTTGGTAGCAAAATGAGGTTCTGCCTCTTTCACTTTTTTGGAAAAGTGCCGTGCTGAAGACACTTGCTGAAGGTCCTAGCGAAGACCTCCGGTTTCTTCTGCATGGCCTGCCTGAGGACGGAATTTGCACTCCGTCTGGTGCTGGAGTCTTTCTAGCCTTAATCCTTTTTCCTCTCTTAGCTGCCTTGAACTCTTCCGTTCTGGTGGTCAGTTCCTCTGTGCCTCGTGCCCTTTGGAAGTGTCTTTTTGAGCGCAGGCAGGAAGTTCTTGATCGCTGAATGTCCTGGTTCTTCCATTTCGGTCCTGTCACCTTGGGAACCCGTTTCCTACTTACCCCTCCAAGGGTGAAGTGTATGGCAAGTGTATGGCATAACGCAGGTGATGTCGAGGATCGAACCACGCCTTGCCTTGCAATACGTCAGCTTTTGGCCACTATTGGCCAAGACCAAGTTTAGTGTCGCAAAGTGTTCTAGGAGGCTAATGCCCCTCTCGTTCGATGCTCGGCTTCCCCACTTTGAGGCCAGGCATTAAAATCTCCTCCAATGACCACCGGCGCAACCAAACGTCTTAGCGTCCATAGTTAGCGCGAGATTTCCCACCTGGGCGGGGCGTAGCAGCTTTACAATGTAACACCCTTTATTTTGGCCTGGACAAAACCTTCGCTGGATGCCCTTATGTCCTGAGGAGCCGCCCTTCGTGAGCGGTCGATGGCGCTTTGGCATTGTTCCATGTACCATGTGCCCAATCTCGCGGCATCTGAAGCACTTAATGAATCTGGTCGTTTCCCTGAGTCTGCAACGCACCCAGCCTACCTTTAGCCAGCCAGCCAGTGCTTTCCGAGCACACCCTGCAGGCAGTCTAATTCGTGTCTGCGTCTGGCCAAACGCCTTCCTTTAAAGGATATCGGTTGCTGGTACCCCGGGAGATTCCACCAGCCTTCGCATGGCTTCCGAAACATTCTCCTTTGTGGTAATCTCGTCCAGATCCCTGCACTCGATCTCTATTTTGTGCGACAAAGAGCGCACTTTCACATCACCTACCGATCAGCGCACATCACCTACCGATTTAGACCCTACCGACCAGTGCTTTGAATGCTGCTGTTTCCTCTCCTAACTTCTTCAATTGGAGAAGTAGCTCTCGCTACTGGGTCCTTCTTATCCTCAATACTGCTTCGCCCTTGACCGTGATGACCAATGCGTCCGGTTTTGGCATCTCCTTGGGCGTATTAGCTTCGATTCTAGGGCGTCCTTGCTGGCTTGAGTTGCAGGTTCCACGGGTGGCCCTGATGCCCTGGCTCCCATCTTCGTTTACGTCGCCGCCGGCGAAGTCTCCATCTTGCTTCTCTTCTTGTTGGGGGGGGTCTGGGCCTGTTCCTCTCCTTCGGGGTTCCGCTACCGGTCGAAATAGGGGCGAATTTTGCGATGTTTTCGCGGAAGCTGCCCCTTCATTTGAATTTTGGGTTGATAAGTTGCTCATTTTAGTGGCTTCCAGCTCCTGTGCCGTTGCCCTTAGGTGTTGTGCAGTCGCGACGTTGATCCCATGGTTAGCTTTGCACGCAGTGAGGGCCTGCTAGAGTTCTGAGGGTAGAGTTCAGAGCCAGATCCGCGTTGGTCGGTATGGTGCATCTGAGCCTGAACGGCCAGCTTAGTGGCGACATCTAAGGAGCGTTTTCTGGAGACTTGCCAAATTTTAGTGGGGCAGCTATTTAGCGGGAATTTACTCCACGTGCTCAGGTGCCAGAATACAGTTGTCCGTCAGACCACGGTTCGGCATCTCCAGCTCCTTTGTTCCAGTTACCTATCCCAGGCCTATACTGGTCTCAGCCCTGGTCGCTTCCTCGCTTTTTTGAAAGGGATCCCTTTCGGGCTGTGAAGAAAGGTTGCGAGTAGCTCTTTCCCTGCTTTCTTGCAAGGATATCTCCCGTCCCAGTCAGTCGTCTCTTCACAAGCCAGAGGTTGTCCCAGTAGTATTATAGGCTCCCGCTGCCGGGCGGGAGGGGGGATAGGCGTTAAGGGGTTTGGGGATGATTAGTGGAAGATTAGTCCCTGTGGGTCGTCGTGGTTGGTGAGCTGTTTATACCTGTATGAGAAAATATGAATATAACCTTATCGCAAGGCCAATCGCGCCGGCGGGTATGCTTAATTTGGAGGGCGCTTTTTTCACTGTCAGCCAATAGCTGCCAGTGCAGTGAACTTTTGGTGGGTGGCCACGCGGATTAGGGCGGGATGGGCCCGGATTAGGGCGGTTCATGGCAGGCCTCGATGTTCCATCAAAGCGCCCGCAAGCGACGAGTAAAAATAATTTAAATAAAACCAATATGTAAAATAAAAAAACAACAATTTTTTTTTTTAAATATTAAGACCAAAGAACTAGAGTTTGGTTGTTTTCCGGTGCGTTTTTGTCGTTTAGTAAAAAACCGTTTTTGTGTTTTACGAAAACTATTACGGACTTGTAATGTACTTCCATTCTAGCTCCAAGAATGATTACATCGCCAATGTAATTCATAACATTGGTAAAGGGTGCCACTAGCTGCTCGAGATGACGTTGAAATATTTCCGGTGCCAAGTTGATTCCCGAGTCATGCCATCACAATCACTACACATTTATGACTTCATTTTTCTGGGCTTCGTCATACACCACCAGTACACCTGGCATCGATAACGTGACAGTTTTCAGATGCAATCCACCTAAGTAGAGGAGTTTTGTTTCCTTTGTGCAATCGTTGTTCAATCGTAATCGAATGGGTACATTTTTTGGTAAATGGTATTAGCCTGTCTTCGTCATCGATATATTTGAATCAACCAAGCCAACTTTGTGGTTTAATTTGGTTGCGAATCCGCTATTTCAAATAATAACAAATTATGTGTAGTTATAATATTTTTATTGTTATAAAAAACCCAAGATGCACAAGTTAAATATTTTTAACAATTAATTTTAGATTAACTAATTTATACCTAAGTAGGTACTTATATACATAAATGCGCATGTGCATGAAGAGTTATTTAAATATACAGATGTTCATGGCTAAAAAAATTAAATATTCAACACATTAGTAAGTGGATTGTGTTATGTACAAATTAACAAATGTTTATAAATGCGCTGAAGAGTTTTCGGTAGAGTAACACTATTTTCTTTTTATATTTTTGAAGTGAGAAAATGTTACTTTTGCTTAATGACTATTACTTTATTCTAAGGTTACTGTTTAAGTTATTTACCATATAAGCTTATTGTTGTTTTTCGTATGCGAAGAATAACTCTATATTGATATTTTCAAAATCTTATTAGCAGAATGTAATAATATTTTAAATGTAACGAATAGAAAAGCAGCAAAGTTCTAAAATTAATAATAATATTTCGATTATGATATATAAAAATATATTGTTTTATTTTAGTCCAGTCCTCAAACAGTAATTTTAAGAACCTATGGTTGGCTCCTGGCGTATTTCTGATTTTAGCTTAACAAATTCTTTGGCTACTTCATCATTATTCCTTTGGGACAATATTCTTAAAATGGTCCAACCCGTTTCATCCATTTCAATACGTCTCATTAAGGGTAACCAGCATGCAACAGAGCCCTGAAAACCATAAAGAAATTACAGATTAAACGATGACTGAATTTTGTTTAACAAGTATTTAATAACAAAACCTTTTCTGAAACGTCTTTTAGTGGAATAACAGCTACTCCAACAAGTCGGTCATCACGGGCGAAGCAATAATCCTTAACGCAAATATGTAATTCGAAGAATTCCAGCTGTTCCTCATTTCCAATTGTACTATGTAAAGGTCATTATTAGATATTTTAATCAAAACAAGGAAGAAAAGCTAATTTTGATTGAAGCCGAAGTTTATATACCTTTGCAGTTTAGATACATGCAAATGTCGAATATAGTGGCCGATCCTTACGAAATTTGACAAATGGGACTAATTGGCAAAAATAGCACCTTAAGAAAGTCCCAACCTTGTATCTCCAAAAAAACCAGACTTCAAATCTTAAAAAAAACTAATTTTTGGCATTTCCGATAAATCAGTTATATGGAAGCTATAGGATAAAGTCAAGTGATCGTCGTGCCTTCTTATGTAATGCACTAGAGGAAAGAAGTATGAGTGAAAAGTTTGAAGTCGATAGCTTAGAAAAAAATGACCCCGAGGATGCCTAGCTTAGAGCTACCAGGTCGCAGGTTACGGTTAACGAACGGTGTTTGGTCATTGAGCGTTTTCAATGCCGTAAATAAAAAGACGAATTTGTTACTTTTGAACGTTATAAAAAATGTTTATTCCTGCATGCAGATCAAGCCGGATGATCCGCAGATAGACCGGCTATGGTGCATGCAGGGACTCAAGTAAATACAGAGAGGGCGGCCCGACTGGTCACTGCGAAGCTAAAGCTCTCGTATAATGGAGAGGGCGGCCCGACCTAGACACTGCGAGCTAAAACTCTCTATAGAAAGCTTGTTGAGTCGAGCGGCCGAGAAAGAGTCGGCTTGCGATCAACAAAGCCTTTGTACAAACTTAAGCCTAATAAATAAACATTACACTAATAATTACACTAAACATTACATAAACATTATTTAAACATTATTTAAACATTATTTAAACATAAACATTAAACGCCGTGCTGCTGCTTGACCCGACAAACGGCCTTCCTGTAAAGAGAGCGGTGAATGAAGCCATTGGCTCATAATAAAACTCTTCTCAATAAGCCCTATCTCTGGACAGCTAGCGGGTATCCGCGCCGTAGACAGTACCGACGTTGCGCTTGTGTTGCCGCCGCAAACAAGTAACCTTACACACTACCTTTTCCACACAATTTTGCACCTATCCACTTTCTATCCCAAAACACTATCTCCCGGCCGGAACTAAGAAGTTACTCAACCATCCGAGATTCAGCTTGGCCGGGGGCGGAATTTAAATTCTGCGCAGTCTTTAAAGGGGGGGTCAGAGCCTTACCCGGTGCCGTGGATCTCCGCCCGTGTTAAACATCGTGCTCATGGGACCACCATAGATAGATAATTAGATAATAATAATTATAGATAATTTAAATAATGATACAAAAAAGAATTCGGGATCTTCCAAAAAACCCAACCCAAATTCCAAGATATCGCCGAGTTAGTCCTGTCAAGGGCAAAACATGACAGTGAAGGTGGGTGTCCAGGTGAGCACACTGTACGGCAAAAGACGCTATGCCGGGTTCGCCGGACCAATTCCCTCAAGTCACAAGCATGCAAAGACTGCCAATAGCTCCACGATGTGTCTCAAAAAGGTGAAATGGTCAAGAAGCGTGCTCCCATCATATTGCATGTCAGTCCACAGCCCCAAAACGGAGGTAAAAATGGAACGACCGTAAAACAAGCGCGAGGATTTATGACAAAGGGATCACGAGCTGTTTCAACATTTCAACAAAAAATGTTTTCGCGGAGATCGCCAAAACCCACATCGGCGTTATCGACCGAGGCAACTACGAATGGAGGATTCCAAGGGACAAGTGAAAGTGGGTGGGTGCCGCCCTAGCCATGAAGTGCTTTAAGTTCATGGTCAAAGAACGGGGCCCCGCATATGTCTGTAAAGACATGGGGCTCCTACAGAGGAGCGTCAAGGTTGTGGACGTCAAGGACGATGAGTGGTCAGAGGAGCTATTACAGTTGGCGGTAATGTCGCTCGGAGAGTTTTACGAGGGCAACAGACTCGTGGCGCTAAACTAGTGTCCCCAGCTTCCCCAACGTATTTTCCCGAACGCTCGTCCCCTAGCGAGGGTATGAAACCCGCTATACATCAAGGAGCCGAGTCATATCCTCACAATACACCAAAGTTTTAACCCGCACCTTCCCATGATGGACTGGCATGTGGCGAAGGTTGATCAAATGGAGGGACCAACGACTGAGGCCACACATGGGAGCTAAGCTTCGGCTTAGCTTCGGCTAACCGTAAAGGTGCACAGATCCGACTCCAGAGGCAACGCATGTCTAGCGAAGATCCTAAGAAACTGACCGCCGAGATCGAAGCCTCAGATTCCGAAAAAGCTACAACACTGACACCTTTTTGTTTTGCTCCATGGCAGCAAATCGAATTTATCCCGCCGACATCTCCGACAACGAGGTGGAAGACACAATGGTGGAGGGATATTCAACAGATGTTCTTGTGGATTCTGCAAATAAGCCTTCATCACTGAAAGGCAGCCTCGGCTGCTCCATTTGATTTAGGATAGAACCGAAATAGCCCTGGTCCAGGAGCCCTAGTTAATAGGAAGAAGGGACTCTGGTCTAAGGGCCAAGGGTTCCATCTAAGATCACACCGAACAATGGTGCTTCGATCACACAGAAAGGGTTAGAATTCTAAAAAGTTGTCTGTTCAGAGACATTGTTACATATTATGTAATTCGATCACTTGAAAAATCGGTCAACAGTTATTTGCAAGCTTTGAAACTGAGAGACTAGTTTGCGTAGAAACAGACCGAGAGACGGACAAGCTTGTATCGACGCAAGGGATGATCCGGGTCAAGAATATGTACTCTTTATCGGTTCGGAGATGTTTCCTACGAAGATTTGCACACTTTTGAGCCAAATTATAATTATAAATTAATTTATAAAATTTAAATTATAAATTATTATTATAAATATTAAAAAATAATACCATCTGCAAGGGTATAAATATAATTATTATTCAGAATGCTTATAAAATTTCGTTTTTTATACCACAATAGTAAAGAGTGTAAAATTTGTTGGCACTCTGTAAAGACTTAAGAGTCTTAAAGACTTTGGCTATTGGCTGTCAGCTAACGGGTACAACTGGTGGACCAACGCGCAAGCGTTATAACTGTGTACATCGCTGGTAGTGCGATTATAATCTTCACGGAAACAGGTTCCGATACGGTGATGTTTCTACCGTGGATGCTCGCTTACGTTCCTGGAGATCGTGGAGCCGAAGGTGGAGCGCCCGAAGGGAAAAAAAGTTGTTATAACCACAGCTGGCAAAAAGAGCGTTCGCCAAAGTAATGAAGAGCCGAACGCTCATTAGAGTCCTTGACATGGGATCCTAGAATGATCTGATCCCCAAGGGCCTTTGCGCTAGGTCTTTAACGAGCTGCACGGGCGCTTCATAGAGGAGATGGGGAGCAGCGGAGGACCAACAGAAGATATCTTAGATGAAAGCTGGTACCACGTAGCATCAATGTGATAGCTAGGTCGAATGCGCGATCTGAATGCCTATAAAATCGAATTATAGCCACGCTGGGAGAGGCTTACCTGGGGAAAACTGAAGGCGGTTGACTGACGAGATCCCCAGCAAGCCAAAGGCACGTGGGTGGCATACAGAAAAGCCAGCTGACCCTAACACCATCCTGGTGATGTTGAAGTTGTGCAACCCGGCACTCCCTACGGCGGAATGGAAGGTCGCCAAGGTGGAAAATGAAATTAGAATCCGGAGGCAGATGGAACTCACGTTGAATGAAAAAAGATCCAGGACAAGCCGGATACCGAATAAATAACGGCTTCGAGCACGCGTCAGTCCGGATATATAAGTCGGATGCTAGGAGCAAAACCCGAGGATTTGAGCTGGAGGCAGACGTCTAGGAACCAGACTTGAACAAAGGGGCACCCTGAAAGAATTTCGGTTGAGGTGGAGGACATTTTGGAGGGGATATCCATCTCCATTTTAAATCTCGGATAAATGCGTCTTTTATAGGCGTCAGGATGAAGGAGGACTTACTGCTGAACTCAGAGACAAAGTAAAGGTTACGGTGGTGGAGAATCTCAAGGATATCTCTGGCAATGTTGCAGATATACATCAACCACAGCAAGGCGGCATTAGCTGCACTCCTACTCCATTTTACCGAGAGTGGAGCTGATGTAGCTCTCATCCAGGAACACTGGGATCCTAGAAAACAAGATTTTTGGATTGGGCGTCGGAGTATAGGCTCTGCCAAGCCGATACAACTTGTAAAAGCGAGCTTGTTACCTGTTACTAATAAACTGAACCTTTTGTTGCTAACTAATTTTAGCAATGAAGATTATGTAGCCGCAGCATTAGAGAGCTCAAGGGGCCTCTAATGGTATACTCGGCGTACATGGGCCACAACTAAGAGGCCACCCCTACCTCTAAAGGCCTCTCACCAACGCAAACTTCCCAGGATACGCCAAGAAGAAGACAATCCAGGAAATGCGGAGCCCAGTGGGCTGGAGTCTACTCGAATACGTCCTAAGTAATTGGAATCTAAGTTGGGCAATAATCAGTATTAAGCTCATTAAATCTCCAGGCCCAGATGTCATCTTCCCCGCCTAATTAACCAAAGCCGGGAGCTACTCTGCGAAAGGCGTGCCAAAATCGTGGCTGTTAATTAAGGATGTCTTCATACCTAAAGCAGGAAAACCCTCGCACTGGTTCTCAAATGACTTCAGACCAATAAGTCTTTCTTCATTTCTCCTTTAGACTATGGAAATGAGCATTAACATCCACATCTATCTGATCAATAACCCAAATCATATTAACCCAAATCATATTTCGAGTTCATAGCACGCGTATATAAAGGGCCTATCCATTGAAACAGCTCTTCATGATAATTCTACGTTCGTCGAAAAGGCTATTAGTAACAAGCAGCATGTGCTTATTGCTTTTATAGACATTGTGGTTTGACTTTTATAGACTGTGTGGTAATGAAAGCACATTGAAGAGAGCACACTGTTGTTCCGAAGCGCTAGCCAAATTGCACTGACTTGTTTGGGGAAAAGCGTTATAACTTCAACATTTTCCATAATTTCCTAATTAAGTTGGTCTCGTTTTATTCAGAATTAACAAGACAATATTGATATGTGTCAAAAATGATATCATTTCTTGGAAGTTGTACCGAAAAAATGGCGTCAAAGTCCGAAAAACACTACGAAAATTCAAAAATGTCAGTTTCTTGCGTAAAAATTTTATACTTTTTGTTTAAAAAAGTTAAAGATCTATTTTTTTTTTAAGTTTATTATACCAAATATTTTTTTAATTGGTTTTAAATAAGGGTTGGCCTACTGTACCCGATAATTGCAATACATATGCGATCTTAGCTGCAAGGCTATATCAACATCAGCTCCGCCCGAAGTTAGCTTTCTTGTCTGGATTTGTTTTTTATTAAACTTATTATAAAATATTGATTATTCAAACAATTGTGGAAAAAAATTATTGCCGTTTGGCCTTTATCTTCCTCAAATAATATTTAAATAATAAGGGTTCTTATATTTGTTTCAAGAAACATTTACCAATTAAAATATTTTAAAAAGTTATAATTAGAGAATTCGTTTTATTAGCTTACAAGCTGAATGACTCATTATATTTCGGTGACCAATTATTAGACTTTGACTTTGTTGCGAACTTCCTCTTTTTTTCTTGGAGATGGGGTCCGATTAAATTTATTTCCACAAACGGTCTAAACATTCCCGAAGGTATTTGCCATTTAAGATCGTTAGCTGCAACCACTAATTTTAAGGTAAAATATTATTAAAAGTATTTATATACTTATTATATGATAAGATAGTAACAACTTTAAATAGTTTACCTTTTACGTTTACTTTGTGTTCTCCCGTGCCTGGATGAGAGAACAAGTCGATTTGTACGGAAATTTCGCCAACACTTTCTTCTGCGTTTTCAGGATCTACTGCATTATATAAAATAAATAAAATAAATCAATAAAACTGAAGATAGTTCCTATAAAATTTAACAATTAAAATTTATCCGTTTTTAGGGCTAGCGGAACGCTTTAATATTGAAAAAAAGTCATAAGAGTTATAAAAGAGGAAACACTTTTGTTCTCCGGGCCAAATTTTTTCTTTGCTGGTCTCCCAAACAGCCCGGACAGCCAAAAAGGCGCCGGACAAGATTCACACTTAAGGGGGGACATCTGAGTAACAAGCCAAAAAAAAGCGGATTTTCTGGAAATTTTTTTGGTCAAATCAAAACAGCTAATCGAAAATTTGTAAATGAGGTTTTATTAAATTATATAAATTGTATATAAAATAAAATTGTAATACACAATAAAATTGTTTAATAAATCGAAAACAAAATGGCGGCCCTGCAGCCCTTATTCGTAGGCCCTATTTTTTTAAAGGAGGTCCATGGCCGAACGCCTAACGTCCTTAATTTTTGATCTAGAACAAAAAATCAAGTTTGGTTAGTTTCTGTATCTCAACGGCTATCGACACACGTAGGATTTTTTCGATATATTGATTTTTTGCAAAATAGTGAGTGGTTGAACAAAATTTTCAATTTTCACTAACAAAAAACGTCACAAAATTGTTGATAAAAAAAAAGTAAGCAAAATACAAAAAAAATGTGTGTCGATAGACATAGATATTCTGAGTATACTGTCAAAATTTTAGATCGATAGGTTAAGAGCTGTTCGAGTTATGTGTTCGGCCAACTCAAAAAAAGTGGTTTCGAGAAAAACGCGTTTAAAGTTTTAAGTACTGTGGGATATACCTGTGAGGCATCGCCGCAGAATGAAAAATTTCGACACTTAGACACTTTTGTCGGACTCTATCTTTTGATATGAGACCAATTTCATTACAAAATTATGAGAATTGTTGAAGTTATAACGCTTTTCCTAAAAAAAGTCAGTGCAATCCTGTTAGCGTTCCGGAGCAATAGTGTGCCCTTCCATTTCGCTTATTCCTTTCTTTTACACACTTTTACTCCGGATCGCTAGTAAAATTGCACTGACTTGTTTTGGGAAAAGCGTTAAAGCTTCAACAATTTTCATAATTTTGTAATGAAATTGGGCTCGTTTTATTCAAGATTAATGAGACAATATTGATATGTGTCAAAAATGATAGCATATCTTTTAAGTTGTACCGAAAAAATGGCGTCGAAGTCCCAAAAACACAAACAAAATGTCAAAATGTCAGTTTCTTGTGTAAAAATGTTATCCTTTTTGTTTAAAAAAATGTAAGATCTTTTTTTTTTCAAAAGCTACAACATGTAACTATTAAAAAACATCGGAAATTTTAAAATCGGTTTAAAGTAACGCGTGTAGGAATTTTTAGGCGCAAAAAAATTCACGAAAAAGTTTTTTTTCCAAATAAATCAAGATTTCGAAGGTGTTAAAAATATTTCAAACACGGTTATGTGTTATATTCAGGGACTGCAAATAAGAATTATGAGAAAAAAAAAATAGAACCACAAAAAAGCTTTTGTGGGGAGTGGGAAAAGGACACATATACCATTATTTAACGGTAAATCCAAAAGAACAAAAAACTTTTACTTCGATTTCTATTGTTAAAATTGAAATATTACTCTTATTTTCAATTTGTATAATAATAATTAAGAATAAGAAATATTTTTCAATTTTTACAAAAAAAAAAAAATAACAATAAAAATGATGATTTAATTTTTATTATAAAAATTATATTGTTTGTAGGGGGGCGTTGATTCCGCAAAAGACTCCGGAATTGGGGATGAAATGAAAAGTCGGGGGCGTCTTCAGTAATTTACAAAAGAAGCGCGTTCAGCTTTATTGGCTGCGTACATCGAATTAAAAACTTAACTTAGAAAGAAAACAAGGCAAAAGTAACAAGGCAAAAAAGAAAAAATACGATCGACGACGGCCGACGAAGGAGCGAGAGCGCAAAGAGGGGCGAGCGCGGATGCGCTCTTCAGCGCGGGTGCGCTCTTCAGTGCTGGTGCGCTCTTAAAGTTGCGGCACAACGGCCCCTCACGTCAACATCCTCCCCCCCTTGCAATCGCTCGGGTTGCAACAGATCCCTCGTCGCTAGCTATGCGTCACTGCAGCTAGAGGGCGTACACGGGTCGATGAAGGCCCCCGTGTCGAAAATCCGGGTCCCGATGTTGACGCTGTTCCGTCTCAGCAGCGACGATAGGATGGGCGCAGCGAGCGCGTCCTGCGGGGGCCCTCGAGGAGAGGCGGAAAGTTGAAAGTTGCGCGGATGACGCGGGCGGAAGAGCGGTGGACGGCACCCGATGAGTGGCGGACGAAAGCAGTGGAGCGCTTGACGACTGCCAGCCAGTGGCGGAAGAATGCCGAGGAGTGGCCGACGAGCGCCGGGAAGTCGATGGCCGTGGATCGGCTTGTGAGTGCCGGAAAATGGCGGACGCAGGGCGAGAAGCACCCGAACCGCGCCGGGAGTTGGTGGATGACGGCCGACGAGAGAGCGAGATACCCCGTGTACTGTCTCCCGTGGGCGGTGACCGGTGCTCCTTGGTCCCGGGGTGCAGCAGCGTGTGGTGATCTTGACCACACGTCATACAGCCGTCCCCACGCCGACAGGATCCGTCGGAGTGCTCGTGGGCCAGGCAGCTCGAGCAATAGCGGTTCACGAGAACCGCTCGGAGCCGCTCCTCGGCACTAAGGCGTAGGAAGCGCCGACACTTCTTCAACGGATGGATCCCATTGCAGACTCGGCATCGGTAGGATAGTGTACCTCGAGTACATCTGCTCTCCAGTGACGGGGCGTTGCGTGGGCGTGGCGACATCGTGCTCAATATGACCTTGGAATCTAGAATTAGGCCCGGATCAGTCGGATCATCAGCTGATTGCCACCGTGCAGCGTGATGCGATGTGTAAATCGAAGGAGTCGTAACAGAATTATGCTCGCATCCTGAATCAAAACCCTGAACCAGTGAGTCCCCGAGGCTGCTGGCAACTCGTGCGGAAAAAACAGACACGCTGCGGGGGTTGGCTGGAGATAATGGGCCTGTCAGCATCCATCCGAAAATGGTCTCCTGACCGATAAGCGACCCGCAGATGTTAGCCTTGGAATTACCGAGGAGAATGGACGGAAGAATGTCAGCTCCTAATAACACATCGACATGGGAGCTCTCAAAGAAGTTGGGGTCCGCCAGGGGAATGTCGGGCAGCCCCTTGAGACGATCTCGTGAAATCGGATATGATGGCAGATTTCCTGCCAACTGCGGAAGAACATAAGCCGCAGTCTCTAATTGTAGCCCGGGTCTAGACGGCGACCGAATGGAAAAATGGCACAATTTAGTAGACTGCGCGGAAATGGTCTGATTGAGGCCGGAAACTTGGGCTTGAATCGTCTTGAAGGGAGGCTTGACGAGGTTGAACAGTCGTTCCGTTATGAACGTCGCTTCGGAGCCTGAGTCTATCAGTGCTCGTGCCTGGACGGTGCACCCCAAATGGCACACGTTGATAAGGGCCGTGCCCAGTAGGACGGCTTCTGACCTGGAAGCGAAACACACCTGCACATTCGACTGATCCTCTGAGCCGTTTGTTGACGTAGGCGGACTTGGAGCGGTAAGCTGCGTTGCCGCGGTGCAAGGGGGTGTGGTGTCTGCTGTGGCATGTGGAGCAGGTATGGGCGCTCGTGCAGTCTCGCTGCTGGTGCCCTCCGGCAAAACAGTTTAAACATAACTGCTTCCTCCTTATGTAGTCAGAGCGCCCATTTACATCCATTTCTAGGAAACGCGGACATAAGCGAATGGGGTGGTCCTCCCTCGAACAGAGATCGCAGCCCTTTTGGCCCGGAACCACTCGAGTCTCGTATGAAGTGAGCCTCCGAGCAGGGGCAGTAGGAAGTCCCGACCTTGCCGGAAATTGAACGTAGCCACTAGGCCTGACGTCGTCGATGGCCTCCAGAGTGCGATGGCGCTCTGTCAGGAAGTTATCTAATTCCTTCCATGTTGGAATCTCGGCCTTATTATGTACGGATTGCTCCCACATAGGAAGTGTGACCTTGGGGAGCTTTGACGAAATCATAAACACAAGGAGACAGTCCCAAGCCTCAACATTAACGGAGGACATTTCTAGGGCTGTCAAACAACTCTGAATGGTAGCTTGCAGCTCCTTCAGCGCGACCCCGGACTCTTGAGAAATAGCCTGGATGTTGAAAAGGATCTTCAACTGGCTGTTGACCAATAGCCGCCGGTTCTCAAAGCGGTCTGTGAGGCTTTGCCATGCGGCGACAAACCCCTCATGGGTAAGCGGAGCCTTAGAAACAATGGCGTGGGCGTCACCACTTGTTTTGGACAATAAGTGGAACAACTTCTCTACCGGGGTGAGCCGCGAGTTTTGGATGTAAATGGCCGTAAACAAGTTTCTGAAGGTGGGCCACCGAAGATAATCACCCGCGAAGACCTCGGTATCCACCGGAGGTAACCGGCAGCCTGTAGGCGCGGGCGTGTGGACATTGACGGGAGCCTGAGTGGATTGGGAAGCAATTTTCTCCCGAAGCTGGGCAATACATCTCGAATTGACGGAGTAACAGTAGCTGTACTTCGCTTCCAGCACTGTCGAGGCGGCCGCATTGTCGTCGGACACGGCTAGCAAATCGGAGCAGCTCTCATAGCTCTTCTCCACCTTCTCCCATAGTGCCTGAATTTGGTCCCAATGAACTTCGCACATGTATTGGGAGCCTATTTCCGTTTCTGGGGCGCCCGGAGTACTTATGTTAGCCTCAAATTGGCTAATTCGATCTGTTGTGGTGATGAACTTTTTCAACGCCACTTCGACCGCACTTGGAGCCATTTTTGCAACGGAGTGAGTCTACCTCTGTGAAGGACCGGGGGTTGTATTGACGGATTCGTCACTCCTTGCCCTTGGACTGGCACTGGTATCCTTAGGCTTCAAAAGAGGCGTCCGCGGAGATGCGGATTGAGATCTGTCCAAACGGATGGCTGGGA